CGACATCAGCAGAATCGATCCGGCCAAGAGGCTCCATCACGCCTGCATTGAGTATCAACCCGTCAATATGCTTATGTGCCTTCTGGACAGATTCAATGGCTTGAGTCAGGCCGGTGGTATCGGTACTGGATGAATTCGGGATATATGAGATTATTGGACAGCATCAGGAAGCGACACTGTCCACTGACACACTGCATTCTATAGAGAAGAAGGTAGATGCATGAGTCTTCAGCAGCTGGACGATTTCTGGCGTCCTCGTTCGCGATATCGCGACGACGATAGAGCCCAGGGATTCAAGGAGTATCCTTGTGACGGCCAGGCCGATGCCTCTGTGTTTAACCGAAAATCAGCTGCCAACTCCGGGAGCTTCGTCTGAGAATATGAACTTTGAGGCGCCAGTGACAATCACAACTGGTTTCCGTTGACTAGTCATGTCTACGCTTTAGATGCGACGGTGGGTGCTTGACGGAGAGGCAGAGTCGGAGGCGAGCGTGGGCTCCGGAGCCGCGCCGCGATCCCCAAAAAGCTTGTGGGAGCTGACAATATCTTTTGGTCGGGACGTCTCGGAGTGCTTTCTCATTGACGGTCATCCTTCCTTCTCCTCTCTCCTCGAAACCTATGTCGGCCAGACTTACATTCTCTCGGTTTGCGCCTGTGTTGGTGAACGCGCGCTCTGTGTCGCGCCAGGTGCCATGTAGAGTGGCCTTAGCTCGCGGATACGCAACTGCCAGCGAAAACTCGGTGAGTAGATGTCATGGTTATCGGCGTGAACGAACTGGCGTATTCTGAAGCCTTCATCGTAGATGACGGTCCGCGACGCACTTAATGCCGCCATGGAGGAAGAGATGCTGCGGGACGAGACAGTCTTCATCTTAGGAGAGGAAGTTGCGCGGTACAACGGTGCATACAAGGTACGTATACTCTTATCAGCGAAAACTCGGCTTCGGAGTGTCATGACACGGTAGTTTAGGTCACAAAGGGTCTTCTCGACAAGTTTGGCGAGAGGCGGGTGGTCGATACACCAATTACGGAGATGGGTTTTGCTGGAGTCGCTGTTGGTGCTGCTTTAGCTGGTCTCCGCCCAATGTACGTTGCTGTCATCTACTACGACCTGAGCTAACAAACTTTCAAACCTCCAGTTGCGAGTTCATGACGTTCAACTTCGCCATGCAAGCCATTGACCAGATTGTCAACTCTGCCGGCAAGACATACTACATGTCTGGTGGGAATGTTCCCTGTCCAGTCGTTTTCCGTGGTCCCAACGGTGCTGCTGCTGGTGTTGCGGCCCAGCACTCACAAGACTACGCTGCGTGGTACGGTCAAGTGCCCGGGTTGAAGGTCGTCAGCCCATGGAGTGCGGAGGATTGCAAGGGCTTATTGAAGGTGGGCATGCATTGAGTACCTGCACATGTACAGTAACTTATGCTTCACCCCCCAGTCTGCTATTCGGGATCCGAACCCTGTTGTTTTCCTTGAGAACGAGATGTTGTACGGAGTCTCCTTCCCCATGTCCGAAGCTGCTCTACAGGACGACTTCCTCCTCCCGATTGGTAAAGCGAAGGTCGAACGCGAGGGCAGCGACGTCACCATCGTTGCGCATAGCAAGATGGTCACTCATAGTCTCGAGGCTGCTGAATTGCTGGCTAAGGAGGGCATCAAGGCTGAGGTGATCAACTTGCGCAGCATCCGTCCCTTGGATATCGACACGATCAAGAAGTCTGTCAAAAAGACTAACCGGTGCGTTCCTTCAGTGCAATAATGCAAGTGACTGACTAATCTGTCTGCAGGTTGGTTACGGTTGAGGGTGGTTTCCCTGCCTTCAGTGTTGGTAGTGAGATATGTGCGCAGATCGTCGAGAGTGAGGCCTTCGACTACTTGGATGCACCCGTTGAGCGGGTCACTGGTGCAGATATTCCCACTCCCGTAAGTGTCTGCCCAATTTTGCTGTGGTTGCGATTCTGATCTTCGATGCAATTAGTACGCCAAAAACCTCGAGGATCTGGCATTCCCTGATACACCTCTCATTGTCAAGGTAGCGAAGCGCGCTTTGTACAGGACCAACTAGTTCTAGGGATACAGTTTTCTTCCGGGTACACTGCTTTGATTATTTAGACTTGCTGTAAGTACGGTAGGGCTTGGCATGCCTTGTGCAATACCATCTTAATATGTGCAATAACGATATCTTGAGCATTGTGGTTTCCATATTCAAGAATACCTCTCCAGGTATATCTTAATTCAAGATCTGGCGCAAGCGAATCCGCACAGCATTGGCGTGGGCATCGAGGCCCTCGCAGTCGGCCAATGTTGCTACAATAGGTCCAAGCACTTTCAAGCCGTCTGCCGAAACTTCTTGCGATGTGATGTGCTTCTGGAAGGATAGTGTATTGACGCCGCTGAATTGGCGTGCATATCCATTCGTGGGTAGAGTGTGATTCGTGCCAGAGGCATAGTCGCCGCAGCTGCAATGATTTGAATGAGTAAATATCGACAAAATTATACACGCAAAGAACCTTTCTGGTGAGTATGGCCCGACGAAAACGCTTCCAGCATTCTGTACCAGCGACACTGCCTGGCTAGCCTCTTTGAGATGCAAGATCAGGTGCTCGGGCGCATAGTCGTTGGAGAACTTTACAGCTTCTTCCACGGACGAAGTCTTGACAATGATGCTTTTCGCCACCGATTGGCGCACAATGTCAACCCGGGAAAGCGCCTTGGCTTGCAAGTCGACAGCCTTTTCAACGGCGTCCAACTCCGAAGAAGTGAGGTTCACTGCGACAAGAACGACCTGTGAGTCAATGCCGTGCTCTGCTTGGGACAGCAGGTCGGCGGCGACAAAGTCTGGGTTACTTGTGCTATCTGCAATAACCTTTAGAATATGTCAGACGCAGCTGCAAACCGAGGGCGTAGACCACTCACCAACACCTCCGAGGGCCCGGCCGGCATATCGATAGACACTAGCGCATCTGTGTCGTTCTGGACCAGCATTTTCGCCGCAGTGACCCACTGGTTCCCTGGCCCGAAAATTTTGTCAACCTTTGGCACCGTCTGTGTTCCGTATGCCATCGCTGCCACCGCTTGGCCTCCACCTGCCTTCAGGACCGTCGAAGCGCCAACCAACTTTGCAACATACATCACCTCCGCCGAGACACTGCCATCTGACTTGGGAGGCGTCGCGATGACGATCTCCTGACATCCTGCTACCTGGGCTGGGACGCCCAACATGAGCGCAGTCGATGGCAGGATTGCAGTTCCCCCAGGAACATACAGTCCCACCCGCGCGATTGGGCGAGCGAAGCGGGAGCACACGACACCAGGCATAGTCTCCACTTTAAGCGTCGAATTCTCTGCCTGAGCTTCGTGGAACTTGCGGATGTTCGCGTAGGCCTTGTCGATCGCCTGCCGAACGTTCTCTTCGATCTGCGTCGTCTCGTCCGGGAACGGCGTGTGAAGCACAGGCGAGGAAAGGTTGACCTTGTCAAACTTGGCGGTAAATTCGAGCAGTGCTGTATCTCCCCTGTCCCGAACTTCGTCGACGATGGGCTTGACCTTTGAGATCATCTCATCGGACTTTAAGACAGGCCGGCGAAGAAGCTGGCTACGCTCCACCTTCGAGATGACGGACAGGTCGAATGTCCTCATACGAATGAAATCGTTGTCAGCACCATTAGGCTTACCATTGGCAGCTGGTGCAGCGACTGAGTACACGGAAGTGGGTTGCGCTGCTTTTGGTGCAAATTGCGGTTTGGCATTTCCTGGTCTTCTGGTGACCTTTTTTGCCTTTTTATCCAAAGAGCGCTCGATGTCCGCAAGGCTGACGCCAGCGGCAACACACCGAGTCATAGCAAAGTATAGGAGATCGGCGGCTTCGAATGCCACATCTTCTTTTGTCTCTGCGTGGCACAATTCATCAGCTTCTTCCATGATCTTAGACCGCAAGAGAGACTGATCATTAAATAAGCGCTTAGTGTATGAATCCTCCGGGGCTGAGGATAATCGAGACTGCAGCGTTCTTTCGAGCGCCGAAAGGCCATAGAGGTCGTCGAAACATGACAGACGGTTGAGATGGCAGAATCCAGAACCGTGCTGAATGACGGAGAACTCGATGGCGTCAGAGTCGCAATCCAGGAAGATGTGAACGACATCCTGGGTTGCGCCGGACGTCTCCCCCTTTCTCCAGAGGCCGTGCTTGCGAGACTGGTAGACTCCTTTGCCAGTCACGATGCTCTCCTTGATAGATTCCACGGAAGAGTATACCAATCCCAAGGACTTGCCACCCTGAGGATAAGATGATACAACGGTCGCAAAGAGGCCATCTCGTCTGTCAGATGTCAGTGCTGACACAAATGCTTCTCCAACGTTGATCTGATCTTTTGTGGACGCTCCGAGGGTAAGTTGTGACGTGGGCAGGACTAGTGCCGCTTTGGCCCCGAGGATTTTGCGGATCGTGGACTGTGAGGGTGATTCAAGTGTAGTCGGGAGTACATACACAGAAGAGTCGGAGAAGAAACGCATAACGGAAGAAATCAAGTCGAGATCCAGGGCTGGCGTCTTGATCAGTACACCAGACACACCTTCACGGATTTTGTCAGTCACTGCGCTGACATTAGCTACATCCAGCAGCAAGAGGATGCGATCGGCTGGCAGCGTTCCAGCAATCTCTTTTGCCCATGAGACAGGTATGATGACCTTCTCTGCCCCGCCGTCCAGGAAGTCTACTACCTTGTCGAGGTCGAAAGAGGAGTCATGGTCGAATAGAATGTACCGTCCGCAAGTGTCGCTGACTGGAACTTGAACAAGTGAGGGTACTATGACTGGTCCAATGCGGCCAAGCGCATCGACAAGAGCACTATCAGCAGCACTTTCCAGCAAAGGCAGAAAGACGGACATGACTGGTAGAAGCAAGGGCTACACCTTACGGCAAGATAAGATAAATGACTCGGCCAATGTACAGTGAATGCGTCGATTACAATAGGTTGCTGTGAAAGTCCAACAATGCCATTGGCCGTATAGTGTAGTGGTTATCACATCGGATTCTGATGAAAAGTATTTATTGCTTTCCGATAACCCAGGTTCGAGTCCTGGTACGGCCTTCTTTTTCGAAATTTCCGATCATCTGCACCGCCACTCGATGGCGGAGTGCATATGACATCATTTGCCTGTGTGCGCCACGAGCAAGGCATACCTATAGGGCGGTGCAGTCTAAGTCTACACCATACGATGTCGTTATTTGCTAACCTCTCGAATATTTTGTTTACGATCCCTCGAAACCCTGTGACAGCTGTTGGGCTGCCGCTAACCCTTGGGCTTCTGAGCGGGAGGAGCACAAAGGACGTGACCCAGACTCAATGGTACCATGTATGTGCCCTTCGATAATAATATAATTTATATACTGACTGTAGGAACTTATGCCGTAGTGTCTTTATACATCACCAGGACGTCCACCTGCGAGGGTCTTTCCGGTTGTGTGGCCTCTTCTCTATGTTGGTCAGGACAGGAATGTCTTCGTCGGAGCTGCGTAATAATTATGTCCGTGCAGCCATGGGATATGCCTCTCACCTTGCGGTGAAAGCGTACGACTCGAGCGCCTCCGATGCAGTAAGGTGTGCTTCTCCCTAATCATGAGTTGGGCTTCTAAAGCTTCTGATGTGGTGCACTCGTGAATAGAAATGAAATATCTTTGGGGCTGGGTCTCTACTACACACAGCTTGCCTGCAACTGCCTATGGACACCGCTGTTCTTTGATTACAAGCAGGTACGTCTTCGAATCACTATTTACGTGTCTCATCCTGATTGCCATTCCAAGATTGGGTGGGCTCTCGTAGACAGCATCCTTCTCGTTGGCACGTCGTTCTACATGACTGTGAGTGTATTATCTCCTTAGTGTCCCATTCATCGTGATGCTCATAACGAATGGCAGAAAACGTTGGATGCACCGACTGCTTCGAAGACGACCTATTTGTTACTCCCATACTGCGCATGGCTATCCTTTGCCACCTATTTAAACGGCGGTATTTGGTGGCTCAACCGTAATCGCACTCTCAACAAGAACATGTAATTGCATTTTACAACGTGCGGACACACGACAATGTTTGTACAAAAAAATCTATGATTATGATACCGCCCGCGTGGGTTGAAGGATGTCCGGCAACACAGAGAACGAGAGTTCCAGGAAACATCGAAGCAGCCAAGGACGAGAGAGGATGCAGACTAGAAGGGGCAAGCATGAAGCTGGTCTACCTGTATTGCTTGTCCTTTGCGGCGATTCGCATGGGCTCAGTCGACTATATTACTGGGCAGCGAACGTTGAAGGGCTTGAGTGCGGCGTGTCCGAACCCGAGTAGGACCACAATGCGACTAGCTGCGAGGCGTAGCGCACCGGGACAATGCGGGCTTCGCCGTGACGAGACTTCTACCGTTCAGCAAGCCATCCCATTATGTTTGATACCGCATATACACATGACAATGCCAATACACCGACAATGAACGACTGCAGTCCAAAACCATGTCGAATTGTTTGATATAATCTTGAGACGTAAGACTTCCGACGACGTAGTTCGATTTATGATGCAGGAGATTCCGAACGAGAGGAAGCGGCAAGAGCCTCAAAGTACCAAGAAGAAAGCGTTCCAGGAGATGAGACGTCCCATGATGCGCGCCAGATAAACTAGTGACGGAGAAGACAATCCCAAGCTGCTCCAACTTCATTGCCCATCTTCAGCGACGTTTTCTCGTCTTTGCACGGGGCGCGGCCAGTGTTTCAGTCGCCTAGCGGACTGTAGAATACAGTCAGGACAAAGTTTAACCTCCATACCTTGCGTTTATCGCCATCCCCGTTCTGTCTGACAGACTTGCGCATAGCCACCTTCTGTTCCTCCCTGTGTAAGTGCCCTTGGAGATCGCATATAAAGGCTCACAGCTCGTCGATTCGATCTGCCCGCTCCAGCATCTATGGGAGATGCTTCACCTTCCCTGCTCCTCTTACCGAGGCTGCCCTCGAGAGGCGAGAAGTCGCGTTTCGTTACTGTATCACTCGCCTTTCCCTTCCCTGCCTTAGGCGTAAGCGCCTTGTCAACAGAGACAACAGGAGATACGCGTCGATCGTCGTCAAAGTCAACAATATCATCCGATCCATTGGTAGCAAGACTGGTAAACGTGGTCTTGTTCAGCCCTACAGTCTGATGCGTCGCAGGAATCATCGAGGTGTTAGCAGTCCCAATCAATGGCCTATCTGCAGCCGTAGTCTTTGGCATGGTACACACTGGGGGTGGCATTGCAGTTTTCTTCAAGCCGGGAGTGTATCTTCCCGCCGCGCCAGGTGGAGGGCCGTGATACCTATGCACATTGGCCACAGGGCTTGTGGCTAGAGGACGTAGATCTGCACGGCGAGGCGCTGGTGTAGGTCGGCCGTTGGTGGCTGCATCATCATTGTTCGTGGACTAAAGACGTCACATCAGCTCTGAGCCAAGACAAAATGAACAGGGAACTCTTGCTGGTGCATCTCGGTCTGGAGCCTTCGCAATAGTAACATGTTGTGGGACTTGGGCGGGAGAGCTGCTTAGTTGCGAAGACAGCCACTCGTCCAGATCGATCATTGAGCGGCTCTCATTGCCGGTCTGAGCTTGAGCTCTCGCCTAGAGAATATTCGATGTCGGTAGAGGCGTGGCGCTCAAACGGAATGCTTTACCTGAGAGTTTAGATGACGAGCCAGAGTCGACTCCAATAGCTTATTGCGAGCTTGTAAAGCTTTCAGAGCAATTTCTCCCTGTAGCAGGGATTTCAAGCCGTCATGGCACCAAAGGTAGTCCACCACATACCTTTCTGAGTTCGTTACCTCTAGCAATCAGTTCTTGCTCGTAGGATGACTCTGCAGTCCGGGTGAGGTTTCCAATGAAGGCCTTCTCTTCCTCACTCTGCGAAAACAGTCAGTGAAGCCCACTGACAAAGTGAGACTACACACCAAGTCCCCAGTGATATATCGGTCGCCGATCCGCTCTGCTCTCTCTTCAAGCTCGGCCTTCGAGGCACCCAGCAGCTGGATCTGAGTTTTGAGATCTTTCGCGGTCTTCTCGTGCTCAAGCGAGATTTGCTTCGCATGTTCCGCTTCTCTGGCTAGCTTCTCATACCTTAGTTCGAGGACGTGGAACTCTTCTCTTAGAGTCTGCTGGGTTTTGATGGCTTCTATGAGATTTTGATCCGCTTGACGGGCACGGTCACTTTCGGTCTGCAGCTTCAGTTCAATGCTTTCTTGTGTTTTGTGAGTCTCAGCTTGGACATCCACTAATCGTCTAGCCGTGTTCTCATGCAAACGGTGCAATTCAGCTTTAGCGTCGACCAGTAGCGCTTCTGCATGCGCCTTCTGCTCTTGAAAGACTCGGAGATCCATGTTAAGAGCATTGGTGCTCGACTCCAGGTTCCGCTGCGGTACGGTGAGAGACAGAAGAGATTCATTACCAAAGACCATACCGCATACGTTGCTTCGGCATTGATAAGCCGTTCCTGCAAAGTTGTCAGCATAGATATACGCAGCAAGGCGAATCATAACGATCACCTGGAGATCGCCGTTGGACTCCTTCGTGATTCGTAAAGTTATGCTTTGATCCTCGAAGCGTTCTTGGAGAACCTGCATTCTCATAAGTTGTCTCGTATGCGACAACGCACGCCGCCACTCACACGAAGTTGCGCCATACACTCGTGCAACCTCGAAAGTTGTGAGAGGAATAAGGTCAATATCTGGATTGGTCACTCTACCTGTCTTTGTATTGGTCCACCTCATTTCCTTTTGTCGCTAACATTGACTCTGTTCTATCAATCTTCTGCTTAAGAGCCCCATTTTCTGAGGACAAGCTCTCGTTCTGGGACACTAGTCCATCCACGCGAGAGCGTGTCTCGGCCAGGTCCATCTGCAGCGTCTGAATATCTTCAACTTTCCGTTGCACGTCGTTTTCCACCCGTAATAACCTAACAGAAACTGTCATTATTATCCATCAGAAGAGTCTATCAGGACCTACTTATTATTGAGCTCATTCGTGAGATCAGCCATGGCGTGGCTGCGAGCTTTGGAGTCTGCTAATTCTATACATGCCCTTTGTAACTCGACAGTTCGTTCGCTCAATTGCATTTCTATGTTGGACAGCCTGAAGTCATGATTCATGAGTATAGTTGATTCGAAGACTGCACTGGGTCACCTGTCTTTCAGTTCAATCGTGTTCTTTTCCTGTGTTTCTAAAGTTTGGACCAATGATTTTATGCGTGCCTCCCTATCCTGCACTGCTTCTGTCTGTGTGCGCAGTCTGCAGGGAAGGACAACGGCTCCCATCAACATCGATGTCAGTAAGTAAAATGGGACATACTCCGTTCTAGTCGACTCTAAACCTTGCAATTCGATGGCATATACCTCCACTTGACGTTGCAACTCGATGTTCCTTCGGTATGAAAAGCAGCTAAGTTCACAATCGTCAGGAACTCAGAGGGTTACAACAAGCGTACAGTTCCTTCAAAGACCCGGCTGCTTCGAGCTGCACGTTCTTCTGCCTCAAGCTTTCTGTCACGTCCGCTATTCTGGAAGGATGTGAGCGCGTTCCGTCACAACCATGGATCACGAAGTACGTACTGAGCGCGTAAAACTTCAAGTTTACTCTCACTACTGGCAGCGCTAACCAGCGCATCCATCAACTCATCGCGCTGTTGTTGTAGACAGATTGCTAATTCTGAAAGACGCGAGGCTGCCAAACAAATATAAGGAGAGTAACAGATTATATTACCGGAGAACTTGCTCATGTCATTCACGCGGGCAGCCGAAGCGCGAAGAGCTTCCCCATCTATTCTTCGACATTCTTCCAGTTCCGCAATCCGAGCGTTCGCTTGAACTAGTTCTGAGCCGGAAGCGGTCAACTGGTCTCGGAGAAGGTCGACCACTTGCTGCGCTATGAGCGACAGGCTGCGGTGAGTATTTATCATCACGTATACACGTGAGCTTACTGTTCGCGGCCTGCATCTTAAGTTCCTTGACGACATCCTTAGTCGTGGACACCCGTAGATATTCACCGTGATCGCCGAGCAGTGGTTCAATCGCTGTTTTCTCCACAACGTG